AGAACAGAGAGAAAAATGTAGTAAAAATTGATCGAATATTTTTGAACTCAGCGTATTTTATACGTAATAAATATAAAAGTATAATAAATATTAAAGTTTATTACTTAAAATCAATAATATACGGTATTTTGTAGATCTTGTTGAAAAATAAATTTCAACACATGTTAATAAACGTAGAGATTACTTATTTTTTTACCATACAAAATCCTGCCACTAGCTAGGATAGATGTAATAGTTATAAGGCTATTATTTGCATAATATTGTCATGTTACTGGTAAATATCACAATAAGGACATTAATAATAAAATTAAATTACAAACTATTCGCAGACGACCTTTCAATTGTTTTACTATTCCAAATTTAATTGTTCTATTACTCCATTGAAGTTAATCTACAAATACTGTTATACAACATTTAGTACGTAGATTACACAATATGCTAATTTTAATGAATTCATTTACAGAAACTCGTGTAAAATCAAAATTATATTGATTAAAATTTTCAGTAGATTTTTGAACACCAATTCTTCATTTCGCTAACAATAAGTTTTCTGTTATGTTAAAATATTAAACAATTGACTATGTTTGAAATTTATAAAATCTACAATATCATGTATCAAATCAGCGTATAAATACTTAGAAATACAGGGTGTTCCACAATTATTTTAACAGCCGAAAATGAGGCGTAGCTGAGGTCATTTGAAGTAACTTTCTCCCTGTCTCTTATACACATCTAACCTTGATATAACCTTGACATAGCCATGGCATATCAGGGTTATATGAAGGTTAATATCAAGGCTGTCTCTTATACACATCTAACCTTGATATAACCTTGACATAGCCATGGCATATCAGGGTTATATGAAGGTTAATATCAAGGCTGTCTCTTATACACATCTAACCTTGATATAACCTTGACATAGCCATGGCATATCAGGGTTATATGAAGGTTAATATCAAGGCTGTCTCTTATACACATCTAACCTTGATATAACCTTGACATAGCCATGGCATATCAGGGTTATATGAAGGTTAATATCAAGGCTGTCTCTTATACACATCTAACCTTGATATAACCTTGACATAGCCATGGCATATCAGGGTTATATGAAGGTTAATATCAAGGCTGTCTCTTATACACATCTAACCTTGATATAACCTTGACATAGCCATGGCATATCAGGGTTATATGAAGGTTAATATCAAGGCTGTCTCTTATACACATCTAACCTTGATATAACCTTGACATAGCCATGGCATATCAGGGTTATATGAAGGTTAATATCAAGGCTGTCTCTTATACACATCTAACCTTGATATAACCTTGACATAGCCATGGCATATCAGGGTTATATGAAGGTTAATATCAAGGCTGTCTCTTATACACATCTAACCTTGATATAACCTTGACATAGCCATGGCATATCAGGGTTATATGAAGGTTAATATCAAGGCTGTCTCTTATACACATCTAACCTTGATATAACCTTGACATAGCCATGGCATATCAGGGTTATATGAAGGTTAATATCAAGGCTGTCTCTTATACACATCTAACCTTGATATAACCTTGACATAGCCATGGCATATCAGGGTTATATGAAGGTTAATATCAAGGCTGTCTCTTATACACATCTAACCTTGATATAACCTTGACATAGCCATGGCATATCAGGGTTATATGAAGGTTAATATCAAGGCTGTCTCTTATACACATCTAACCTTGATATAACCTTGACATAGCCATGGCATATCAGGGTTATATGAAGGTTAATATCAAGGCTGTCTCTTATACACATCTAACCTTGATATAACCTTGACATAGCCATGGCATATCAGGGTTATATGAAGGTTAATATCAAGGCTGTCTCTTATACACATCTAACCTTGATATAACCTTGACATAGCCATGGCATATCAGGGTTATATGAAGGTTAATATCAAGGCTGTCTCTTATACACATCTAACCTTGATATAACCTTGACATAGCCATGGCATATCAGGGTTATATGAAGGTTAATATCAAGGCTGTCTCTTATACACATCTAACCTTGATATAACCTTGACATAGCCATGGCATATCAGGGTTATATGAAGGTTAATATCAAGGCTGTCTCTTATACACATCTAACCTTGATATAACCTTGACATAGCCATGGCATATCAGGGTTATATGAAGGTTAATATCAAGGCTGTCTCTTATACACATCTAACCTTGATATAACCTTGACATAGCCATGGCATATCAGGGTTATATGAAGGTTAATATCAAGGCTGTCTCTTATACACATCTAACCTTGATATAACCTTGACATAGCCATGGCATATCAGGGTTATATGAAGGTTAATATCAAGGCTGTCTCTTATACACATCTAACCTTGATATAACCTTGACATAGCCATGGCATATCAGGGTTATATGAAGGTTAATATCAAGGCTGTCTCTTATACACATCTAACCTTGATATAACCTTGACATAGCCATGGCATATCAGGGTTATATGAAGGTTAATATCAAGGCTGTCTCTTATACACATCTAACCTTGATATAACCTTGACATAGCCATGGCATATCAGGGTTATATGAAGGTTAATATCAAGGCTGTCTCTTATACACATCTAACCTTGATATAACCTTGACATAGCCATGGCATATCAGGGTTATATGAAGGTTAATATCAAGGCTGTCTCTTATACACATCTAACCTTGATATAACCTTGACATAGCCATGGCATATCAGGGTTATATGAAGGTTAATATCAAGGCTGTCTCTTATACACATCTAACCTTGATATAACCTTGACATAGCCATGGCATATCAGGGTTATATGAAGGTTAATATCAAGGCTGTCTCTTATACACATCTAGATGTGTATAAGAGACAGGGAGAAAGTTACTTCAAATGACCTCAGCTACCCCTCATTTTCGGCTGTTAAAATAATTGTGGTACGCCCTGTATACACCCCATAACATTTTCCTGCAGATAGATTCATTACATAATTCTCAAATACATATGTTAATTTACAATAGCTTACCACAATTATCATATTGCTAATATTCGCAATTACAGTTATAAACACACAAACCGTAAATCTATGCATTGCTGATGCCTTTCGTCGATTTACGTTAATGCAGATTGCGAGATCTTGACACAAGTAGAATTTTTCTCACATTAATTTCGATGCAGTTTACATAATTCTCGTATCTCGACCGAGCTCGAAACCTCATGCTGTGATAATTACGTGAACGTTCGTGACGTACGACTCATTATCATACTACAGGATAACCACACGCCGCGTATGGTTCTTCTGTGTCGATACACCAGCAATTTCCGTTATACTATCGCCAGCAACACAGACGTCACTGGTAGAAGGATATTGTCGCTCTCGAACAATTTTTAGTTTCAGCACACGTTTTCGTTAGACGTTTTTTCCATTTCTCTTCTCGTATATTATCTTTCTTCGACAACATCGCATCTGTGTCATAAAATGCAAATATAAATATTATTAAATTGCCATATTACATAGTTACAATCAATGTTACTCTATAATTCATAATCTATATTGAGTTCATTTTTTACGATTACTTTAATTAAAAATTAACATACGCAA